ATCTGTTTTGAGCTAGATTTTGTGAAAAATCAGTCCTCCTCCTCCTTTTCCTCCCCTCTTAATTTTTTCCTCCTCTTTTCCTGTTTCTTCTCCACCCCCCTCATCTTCTTTCCCCTCCTCTTCTCCATCCTCATCCTGTTCCTCCTCCATACCTCTCATACAAAGATAAAATCACATTGCACGGACATGTTTCAGATATATTACATGCATAGAAATCTCTAAATTAGACCCATTATTCTCTACAATTAAGAGTCACTAATTTAAAAAGGAAACAAAGAGTTCAACTTCCACAAAAATAGTTTGTTCTTTCTTGTATAAACACCACGACATTGTGATTACTACAGCTGTGCAGTAGACCTGGAAGTCAGGCAGCCGGACTTCTGCTTTGTTCTTCGGGGTGTCTTAAGATAGCCTGGGTCATTGCCTTCCCACATCAGTAGTAGAATCTGCAAGTCATTATCTACAGAATAAACTTGGAAGGTTTTGACTGTGATTATACTCACCCTGTAGGGCAAGCTGAGAAGAATTGATATACTCACAGGCTTGACTACTTGTATTTATGAATATGAACAATTCAAAATTTTTTCATGTATTGGATCTCTTTTATTTATTTAACAATTTTGCAATTTTTCTTCACATAGACTTTAAATTTTTTAAAACTTTTTTTGTTTAATTGTTTTTCATTTTATGTACAAACCCCAGTTCAGGACTCACTCTCTCCTCTTCTCCCCACCCCTTCTCCCTACCCCTCCTCCCATTTCATCCCCCATCCCCTCCTCAGAGTGGGTAAGGCCTCCCTTGGGGAGTCAACAAAGTCTGACATACCAAGTTGAAGCAGGACCAAGACCCTCCCCGTGTATTAAGACTGAGCAAGATATTCCACCATAGAGCTCTAAAAAACAGTTCATGCATCCAGGATAAGTCCTGATCCCACTGACAGCCCCGCCCTCACAACAGATCAAGTCACATAACTGTCACCCACTTTCAGAACACCCAGTTTGGTCCTATGCAGGTTCCCCAGCTATTGGTGCCTATAGAATTTTTGGTGCTGATGCAAATAATTTTTTTCTTACAATTGCAGTTGTTCATTGTTGATATATAGAGCAGAAATTAACATTGTCTATTAATTTTACATCCTGTGACTTTCCTGTAATTATTTATTAGCTATGAATATTTTTTGGCAGTTCTCTAGCACTTTATACACAATTATGCTATATGCAAAGGAAGCTTTTTCTTTCTCATGTTATATAATTCTATTTAATTTTCTTGTGTTATTGCTTTAGCCATATGTTCTATCATGGTACTAAGCAGAAGTGATGAGGCGACATCAGTGCTTTGTTTCTTATTCTGGGAAGAACCTTCCCAATACTCATCAGCAAATATGATACCTGCTGTGCTGATATTTCTGAGGACTGTTAAAAATTGTGTTGGAGAAGTTTTAAGGTTTTTCTTTCATCTGTATTTCCTAAGAATTTAATTTTATGAAAAGATTTGCCAAATGCCTTTCTTTGTAGATTTGATCATGTGACTTTTCCTCCTCAACCTGTTGAATGATGGATTACAATAACATATCCAACTTTGGTTACATGTTGCCAGGGATATCTATGACTATAGCCAAACACAAAATAGTAAGATTATTTGAAGTTCATGAGACTTTCTTGGAAATTTGGTTGTGTGGCTCTGAAGCATGAACACTGTAGATAGTGACATCCTTTCCCAAGGTCAAGATATTGGACACATATACCTGAGTTCAATTTGGTTCTACTCAGTTATTATGCTTGGTTATACATAATTACTTTTCTGTTGTATGTGTCCAATTGTGTACATGTGTACAGCTGTGTATGTGGGTGTGCTCACTTGTTCAGGTACACAAATATAGGTCAGAGGTTGACCTTGGGATGTCTTCCTCTGTTAGTCTTCGAGACAGGGTCTTTCACTGAACCTGGAGTTTGCTACATCACCTAGAGTGACAGAATCCTGAGCCCCTGGAGTCTGCCTGCCTTCGCTATGTCCCCCGAGCACAGGGGTTGGTTGCAGGCTCCTGCAACTGTGCCCCAGCGGGAAATGAACTCAGTTTCTCTTGTTTGCATGGCAAGCTCTTTACACACTGAGCCATCTCCTCGGCTCCACATAATGACTTTTATATCTTGCTGAAATTTCTTTCTAGTGTGTTGTTTTATACTTATTCTTATAGGACATATTAGTACAGTTTTCCTTCCTTATGCTGCCTTAAATGAGTTTGGTATTGAGGTAATAAAGACCTCATAGACCAAGCTCAGGATTGTTTCTTCTGTTCATATCATCCAGAAGGAACTACACAGAAATGGCACCATTTCTTTTTTGGAGGTTTGAAAGAATCCATCAGTAAAACCATCTCTATACAACTCTTTCATTTTTAGGAGAGTTATTGAAAATGAATGTACTTTTTAACAGATATACGACTATTTAAATGATCAGTTTGTTTTTATATAAACTTTGGTAGTTTGTATTTTTCAAAAACTGACATTTTAAGCCTCTTCAAAAGATCATTATTTAGGCAAAGCAATAAGGCAATATGGGATTTACAATTCATATAAGATAAAAATGAACGACAGTAAGACATTTTATGTTTTAAATATACATTTGATGCTGTATGTTTTCTTCTGAGCCTTGTTTTCAATGTATCACAATGTTCTTCTATACTCACAGGATCAGTGCCTTGCCTAATTGTAATCAGAAAGGCTTCCTTGGGAAGCTGATGGGGGCAGATACAGAGACACAGAAGCCCGCAGCCTAACATTAGCTCCAGCAACTTCACAGAAGAGGGAAAGGAAATGAGTGTAGCAGCAAGAGAGGTAGAGAACACCATGAGAACACAGCCCACAGTATCAACTAAGCAGGACTCATAAGGGCTCACACAGACTGACGCCCTCTGCATACAAGCTGTGTTTCTTTAGTTTGGAGTTTTTGTTGGAATCCAAACAATGGGTGTGTGGTTGTCTCTGACCTTTCTGCCTGCTTGTGGGACTTTTCCCCTCCTACTGGGTTGCCTCATCCAGTCTTGATATGAGGGTTTGAACCTAGTCTTATTGCATCTTGTTATGCCGAGTTTGGTTGGTATCACTGATAGACCTGCTCTTTTCTGAAGGGAAATGGAGCAGCGGTGGATTTGGGGGAGAAGGGAGGTAGGAGGGGGCTTGGGAGGAGGGGATGGAAGAGAGACTGTAGTTGGGATGTATTATGTGAGAGAAGAATAAATAAATAAAATAAAAAACATTTAAAATTATAATTTATTATTAAGTGTGTGTGTGTGTGTGTGTGTGTGTGTACATAATGTGTTAAGTGAGGGCTGAAGTTTGCCTCAGAGCTCATATGGAGGTCAGAGGAAAACTCCGTGGAGTTGGTTCTCTCAGTCCACCCTGAGGTGGGTCCCAGGGATCACTCTCTGGTCATTAGGCTTGAGGGGCAAGTGCCTTCATGTCACTAAAAATCAAACATGCCAAGCCATCTCTCAGGCCTCCAATGTATTTCTGGCAGGTGGGTTTTTTCTGTTCTAATGTTTAAAATATTTTAAATTTTTCTCCAGAGACTTTAGCTGGCCCATGTGCAAGTGAAAAGCATGTTTGGTGTCTGTTTTTGTTTGCTTTAAATTTTTTTCTTCTCAGTTTTCTGTTGTGTATTTCTGACTGAATTTCCTTTGCTGCTTGTGGGCACACCCCAGCTGATCCCTACTCTAGGCTTATGAGTGTGGAGATTTTTGTTTTTGCTTTTACTTAGAATGTGTTGCCTTCGGTAACTCTTCCTGTGAGTTAAGGGGAATGTGCATTGTGATATTTTGGGTGAGAAACCCTATGAATTTCAGTCATCTCCAGGCTGCTCTGTGCAACAGTACAACTCCGTACTCACTGCTCTTCTGCCCAGCGATTCTGTCAGCTGCTGGCAAAGGGGGTTGGCATCTCCAGTGTCTCCTCTCTCCACCCGTGCCTTGGGTGCCTTGACACTATTCTTAGATGTGTGAAGCTTAAAGACTGCTTCGTCTTCCTGTGGGATTCACTTCTTCAACTTATGTCAAGCTCTTTGCCTTTAACATTTTTTTCTACACTAAATTCCGATTTGGATCTGGGTCTGTTAGAGGCTGAGTCTGAAGGATCACAAGTTCAAAGTCAGCCAGGGCTATAGAGTGAGTTCAAGACCAACTTGGGCACCTTAGATTCTGTCTCAAAGTGAAAGTAAAAAGAGGTGTGGAGCAGAAACAGCTGATCTGAGCTAGTGGGAGCTCACTGACTCTGGACTGATAGGGAACCTTTATAGGATCAAACTAGGCCCTCTGAATGTGGATGACAGTTGTGTGACTAGGGCAGTCTATGGGGCCACTGGCAGTGGGACCAGGATTTATCCATAGTGCTTGAACTGACTTTTTGGAGCCCATTCTCTTTGGAGGGATACCTTAGTCAGTCTAGATATGGGGGGGGGGGTGTACTAGAGTTCATTGATTCCCCATGGGAAACCTTATCCTCTCTGAGGAATGGATGGGGGGTGGGGTGGGAGGAAGGAGGGGATAGCAGGAGGGGGAAGCAGGGAACTGTGATTGTTATGTAAAATGAGAAAAGACTTTTCAAAATAAAAAAGATAAAAAAAGAGGTGGGGGATATACATCAGTATGAGACTGCTTGCCTAGCATGTGACTCTAGGTTGATCTTTAGTGACTTGAAAATGAAATAAAACAAAAGTCTGATTTGACTTGAATTAATATAGATAGAGTACATATCTTCTGATTATGTGCTAGTATAACTTTCTCTATCCATTATTTTTATTTTATTTGTGTACTGCATTTAAAATTGACTGCTTATCTACAAATAGATTATATTTTTAACTGCTGTAACAACCTTATCTTTCACTTGAGATATCCAGACTGTTCATGTTTAAAGTAATTGATGTCCTTTGAATAATACCTACCATGTTGGAAGCCTTTTGTTCCTTTTGTTTTCTTTATTTCATCAGTTATTTCTCTCTTCTTTTAGTGTATCTATTATATCCCTTTTTAAGCTGGTGACTGAACTAGAGACTACCATACATCTATAGCCAATGTAAGTATACTGTAATTTTTCTTTTTTCTTAATTATTAGTTTAGCAGCATGAAAATTTGATACTCATATAAAGTAAGTAATGATAAAATCAAAGGATAAATATTATATACCTTAAATATTAAAAACATCAAGCAATGAAATGTACACATTTTTGAGGTCAAGTGTGGTATTAAGACAGGAATATAATATATCCTTAACAAATCACAGTAACGAACAATGTTATCTCTTTATTGCTACTTGGTATTGGCTATGTCAAGCTACTCTTTTAGTTCATGATAACCTCTTCAAATCATTCATGTACTATATGATAGGTTATTATGAACAACAGCAGCTCTATTGCGTTGTGGAGTTATATGTGTCTATCTTAATGTATAACCTCCATGCAAATAAAAACCACAGTGAGCTATCAACTGGCCCTAGTTAGAATGGCTATCATTTAAAAGACGAAGAATAATGTGTATGACTTCCCTTCAGCCTACATCTCCATTAGTATCATTGTTTTTGTCTGTAATTACTTCAGACACAATGGAACACAGCACAGAAATTCCTTAAAAACATGGAAAATAGCCTCCTGTGTGATCCAGTCAAGCATATTAACCAAGAAGATGGTCTCCACACATCAAAGACACCTGCTTACTCATTTCTGTCACTGCACTGTCCACTAGAGCTATGATATGATACAGAACCAGCCTACAGGTCCAGCAGAGGACAAATAGATGAAGAGAATGGAGCACATGCACACAGTGGGTACATCTGGAAATCTAGAATGCCACGTGTCCCTACAAAGAACATCATTTTGTCAATTTATACAATATGGAAGACAGTGGAGATCAGTATGGTAAATGAGATAAACAGAGAAAGACAACTTTCACATGATCTCACTGACATGGAATCTAAAAGTGTGGATTTGAGTAACAGAGACTGGGAAATGAAGGGAGAGCAAAGGATTAGAGGGCTGATCAGAGCTCTGAGTTGCAATTATAAGGGCCAAGAAGTTGCAATTATAAGGGCTAGAGTGTATGGTGTACTAGCAGCATAGTAAGGCTGTGACAGCTACAGATCCTCATCCTTTATTACACAGTGTTGAAGAAAAAGATTTTAAGGTTTTTCCCTATAAACGTGATAAATTTTGGGGAGACAGGTACAATTAACCAGCTTTATAGTATCTACATGTGTTAAAATACCCCATCTTCTTGATGTCTATAACCATCCTGGAGCCTTCATCCAGGTACTGATGGAAGCAGAGGCAAACACCTACAGTTAAACACTGAACTGAACCCATGGAACCCAGTGACAGAGAGAGAGGAGCAATGAGCAAATTGGCAAAGAATTGGCTGGCAAAACCAGCAGAGACAGCTGATCTGAACAGGGGAGAGCTCTTGGACCCCAGACAGACAGCTGGGAGGCCAGCATGGGACTGATCTAGACCCCCTGAGTGTGAGAGTCAGTGAGGAGGCCTGGGCAACCTATGGGGCCCTGAACAGTGGATCAGTGTTTATCCCTGGCATACAAATGGACTTCGTGTGTTCATAACACAAAGAGGGATGCTCTCTCAGCCTGGACTCTTAGGGGAGTGCCTGGACCCTGCCCCGAGTGAAATGACAGACTTTGGATATCCCCTATGTGGAAGGAAGTGGGGATAGGGTGGGAGGCTGGGGGGGGATGGTAGAGGGGTATGGGAGGAGAGGAGGGAGAGGGAACTAGGATTGACATGTGAAGCAAGCTATTTAAAATTAAAATAATAAAAAAACCCATCCTCTCATTAGGCCTGCTTTTAATGCTTTATGTATTAGGTAAAAACAACTTTTATTCTTTAAAAATACTACCATTTAGTTGGGTGTTGATGGTACACACCCTTAATTCTAGCACTCCTGAGACAGAAGCAGGTAGATTGCTGTGAAATTAAGGCCAGCCAGATCTATAAAGTGAGTTTCAGGGTAGGCAGAGATGTTGCACAGAGAAAACCTGTCTTGAAAAATCCAAAAACAAACAACAACAGCAAAACATCAAGCAACCCCCCCTAAAAAAACCAAAACCTATCATTTAAAGTATGCCTCTCAGTACTGCCTTATGATCTTGTGGAATGGCTGCTAGTATCTTTCCCAGAACACTCTACCCATCTTAGTCAAGCTTGTCCTTGCCTTTTCCAGTCTCAGTACCATTAACCCCAGTTATCTGTCTCTGGTTTTTCCTTTGCAGGTATTTCATGCAACCCTTCTGCTTAAGAAAATAAAGAAATGGTGCAATCTGGTCTCTTGTGTGGGCTCCGGTTTCCTTTCTGTTGCTGTGACAAAATACTTGGACCAAAAGCAACTCGGAGGAAGGATGGGTTTGCTTTAGCTTGCCGGTGACCATCCATCATCAAGGAAGGCCAGGACAAGAGGATTAAGCAGGACACTGGAGCAAAATCCGTAAGCTTACTGCTTTCTTATTCAGCTCTGAACAATTCACCCAGGAAATGTTGCCTCCCACAGTGGGCAGGTCTTTCCTACATCAGTTATAATCAACATGATCACACACACACACACACACATGCCCATGGGTTAATCTCATCATGCAATTCCTAAGTTGAGACCTCCTTTCCAAGTGACCTAAGGCTGTGTCCAACTGACTGTTACAGTGACTAGTATGTTGTGTAAATTTAATTCACATATACCTCAAGTATTTTTCCACATAATCTTTAAATCCTTCATAGTAAAGTTGCCTGTTTTTCTATTGAGAAAACATCAGAGTGAAGGTACTGATTTCCTTCTTAGGGATTGTTGCCAAGTTATCATTATAACATGACAAGGGACATCGCTATGCATGTGGCTTCTCTCAAATGTGTCTTTACTTTCTTTGGGTCTAGGTGCAAAATTTGCATAAAAACACAAACAGTGGTAATAACCTTTAGAAGAGTTGCATTAATTTTCCACTTTACCGACCATACATGAGGTACTTGTATTATTAAGATGATGCTGTGAACGGTGAATATATATGTATATGCATATAATATATGCATATATAATTTATATACATAATATGATATCTTAGAGGTGCCTTTGCTTGTGACATTTGGCTTTGTAAAATGAAAAGATGTTTTCAGTCCTTCCATTGTTTTTCTTATGGCAGAGCAATTTTTCCCAAGGAAAACCCTCATACACCAAACCAGATAACATTTCCAATTTATCGCTCCTGTGAAAGCGGCTGCAGGATAAGAACAAATACAGTCTGTGTTCAATCTATTCAATTAGAACAGAACAAGAAATTTATTTCAGCACATACAAATCAGCAAATCCCATCATGGCTGAATCCCATTTAGCATTTATGTAGGCTTAATTAAATCACCAATGGGGTTTCTTACAAGGACAGTGGCCTTCAGGAAATATGCTTGCTAAATACTTACCAGCAAGGCCCGTGGGGAGTAAACACAGAGGCTTGCTTGCAGAGTCCCTCAGATCCCCTCCAAGTTTCTCTACGAGATTGCCATTGCAAGTGCAGGCAAACAAATGAGGAGCCGCTGAGGGGAGGAGCCGAGTAGGGGATGGGGGCATTGTATTATTTGGTTCATAAATTCTGACTCCCTGGGCTGTGCCTTGGTTCACATACTTCCAGGAGCAAGTGTCTCTTCTCACAAAGCGCAGAAGTTTTCTTTGCAAGTAGCCTGCACCTCACAAACATAGAGAACCCGTCAAAGGGAAGAAAAACGAGGAGACATTATCGATTATCCTTGTGAAAATCAATGGCTTGCTCCTCTGGCTGGCTTTCCAAGCCCATTTTCCAACTTCCTCCCACCCCACCCCCACCCCCTGTCCTGCTCTTGATCTCCCTCTCTCCTTACCTCTTTTTCTCCCTTTCCCTCTCCTCCTATATCCCCTCTCTCCTTCTTCTCTTTCCCTTTCTTCTGTTGTTTCTCTTTCTTTCTCCCTCTTTCTCTCTCCCTCTCCTGGTCTCTTCCCCTCTCTTTGTCTCTGTCTCTCTGTCCCTGTCTCTGTCTCTCTATGTCCCCCCTCCCTTTCTCATCCTCCCCTTTTATTCTCCTGTCTCCCACTTTTCCCTTTCCTTTGCCCTCCTCTCATGCCCTACTACTCAAGCCAGCATGGGAGTTTGCTGGGAACCTCAAGCCTGGGAATTCCTCTGCAGATCAGCTGAGCATCTCTCTCCTGAGCCAGGCTTTGCCTGTGTCATTTTACTTGATCACAGTCAATAAGAAAATGACCATCCTACAGGGAAGGGAATGGATCAGAATACGGCATCTAAATCTAGATCCTTCCACATGGTTTCTGAGTTTGGCATCTTCAAAGTATTATTGCTTGAGATTGACTTTCCCAGAAGAACATGTCAGATGATGGGAGGAGTCCCAGGGACTGCATCAATGCTAAGGTCTCCAGGTAACAACCTGCTTCTGTATTCTACAACTCTTGTGACTTTTAGTCCCACAGCACCTTCTAGCAGATTAAGAAATGGCAGAAAGGAGTAGTTTTAGAAATTATAAACGGAAGATCAAAACCAGAGCTTTGAATGTGTTAGGTAAGTACCCTACCACTAAGCCACATGTCTGGTCCCACATCTCTTCCTTCCTTCTTTCCTCCCTTCCTTCTTTCCTTCCTTCCTTCCTACCCTCTCTCCCTCCCTCCTTTCCTTTCTTCCTTCTTTCTTTCTTTCCTTTCTTCCTTCCTTCCTTTCTTCCTTTTATTAATTTTGAGACAAGGTCTGCATTATTTGTCCAGGTTGGGCTTTGACCTTACTTTGTAGCCCAGGAAGTCCTTGGCTTGTGATCTTCCTGCTTCAGCCTCCCAAGCAGCTGTGTCACTGCACCTGGCTGAAATATTAACTTCCAAGATGCTGTTGTTGTTTTCTTTCCCCTTTAAATCCTAGTTCCAAGAATGTTGAAGTCTCTTCCAGGGAGGGAATTACTAAAAATAAGTTTCTTGCAATAAAATCTGGAAGGACCTTGGAGCCAGCTGGTTCATCAGCTCTATTTAGAGCTGATGAACATGGGAGGAAAGACAAGATCCCCAGAGCTGGGGCTTCTGTGGGGTCATGTTACCCTCAGGCCCCTACTTCTTCCAGGACAGCAAGGTCATTTATCCTCTCTTTGAAAGACAAGGGATGGCATTTCTCCAGGCTGATGAAGTCAGACTTCAGTTATGCTTGTCTACAAAGATGCTAACTGCAGCTGAGTGGCTCTGCAGACCTCAGGTGGTGGGGATGCAATAGGTTAATAGTCTCTTTGAATATGAAGACCTATGAATTGGGAAGCACCTGAAAGTAATAGAAAAATCAAGTTGATTGAAAGTTGCAGACTAGAGTTGCCACTTTTTTATCTTGGGGAAATATATCTTCAGCCTGTGTGGTTCACCTCCTTAATTCCTGCTACCTGAGGCAGAATGCCACATGTACATGTACATTCAAGCAGAATTCAGGCACTTAAATCCAGTTTTCAAAGCTTTAAGATTCTTTTAGGGCAGTTTCATGCATGTGTGTACTGTATTGTGATTATGTTCATTGCTATTACCATGAAGTATCCCCCTTCATTTCCCTCTGAACCCACTCTCAATCACAAATGGTCCTCTAGTAGCTATACCTTGGAAGAAAACAGTATCCCCTCATAAGGTACCATGCAATCAAGAGCTCTAGGAAGGGACAGGGTCCTGAGGGCACCTCCTGTATTCATGACAGTATATTAAAGGGCTCCATTTTGTGCAGGAGTTCTTTGTGTTTCCATGAGTCATTTGTGTTCAAGATTAAAATTGCTAGGCCATATCTAGATGGCAGCATTTGATGGCAGCCCT